TATATGGACTTCCTTTTTACATCTTCTGACAGGTTGTTTACCTCATTTGAAATAACAGGCTCCTCCTTGCCTTTCAAAGCTCTTTATCTCCCCCTCCAGTATAGCCAAGATTCAAAACAAGAATAAAAGCTAAATATGTACAAAAAAAGACAAGTGGTTGTATTTTTCAAATATTTGCAATACATTTGATGTGTTTTCAGAGCTTATTTTAGGGTGTAGATGATAACTAGCCTGTGATGAAAGGATCAAGTTATTCAAATTCTTAAGATTAAAAAGAAATGAAAGAAAATAAATATCTACACTAATCAATTCCTCAACTGGAGAATATTTTATGAAAACAAACCTCCTATTTTCCCTAACAGATGATGTATGAGTATTAAAAACTAAGCTGTTTTAAATATGTTTAAAAAGATTAATTCTTTGCACATCAAACGAAACAAAATGATTAAAGGAGGAAAATAAGGTCTGAAGGCTATTAAATTCAAATACAGATCATAAAATCCTACAGGTTTACATGAACTGTAGGATGAACATGTCATGTTTGGCTTAAGGTTCCTAACCCACATGCAGAACACACTGAAGCAGGAGAAAAGTTCAAAGGTTTATTTAAATGATGATTCAGCACAGAGAATAAACAGATCCAGGGGTTAACAGAATCCAGGACTGGTCACGAATGGGTTCAATTTTTTGGTAATTTGTCTTTGTGTGTATGTAAAATAATGTGAGAAAATCACAACGTATGTTTTAGTCATTATTTGATAAAAAAACATTGTTATATTAAATTATAAGTTTTACTTTTTAAAGTCGGGATATTGTTAAAAAAAGTCCATCCTTTTATGAAACCTCTCCCTCTGAAAAAAACGATAAAGTATGCATGCAGCGCATCAGCAGAGGTGTCAGAAGTATTAATGTATATTACTCAAGTAGAAGAATAAATCCTACTGTTTAAAATATTTTTGTAGAAGTTAGAGTATAAATGTTTTACTGGAGTGAAAATGTAAAAGCAGCATTTTGATTACTCCTTAAAATATGAAAGTAAAAGAAATATAGAAAAGAAATGTTAAGGAAAGATACTTTATGTTAGGAATCCAGTTTGTGTGGGTTGTTTTTGCGTTTTTCTGTCCCTCCACCACCAGGTGGTGCCCTTTCCTCGTTGGTCCTCTTGCACACCTGTGGCTCGTTGATTCATCACTGAGAGGAGTATTTGAGCATTTGACTGTCACTACCTCGATGCCAGAGTGTTTGCCAGTTTTGGGTACTCTAGCCAAGCTGAGTTTAGCTGAGTCTAATCTGAGTTTTGTTTCTCTGAGACTAACGTTGTTTTTTTTGTCTTTGCCTTTCGGCAGGAAGGCTTCCTGCATACTGGATGTTTGGCCTTCTCCCCCTGGAATTATTCTTTGTGTTTACACTAAGCAGGGGAAAAACCTCCACACGTGCCGTTCAAGTTCCCACGGAAATCCAAGTGGCAGTCCGCTCCATTGCTTCTCAGGGTTCACCAAAATCAACCTGTCCGCCCTCCAACGAGTTCCCTCCTCTCTGGATAAACCCACACCAACTGGATTCAAGGACAAGCAAGAAATCCCCTCCAACATGAGTCCCATTTTAACAGCTTTCAAGATCTCAATCAGATTTCCTCCGGATCCTGAACTAATCACAGTGATCTCCTCTCCAGACCTTCTAGTTCTGGTTCACCTGTACTCTGAGCTCCAGATACATCTCCTGGGTTCCTTATCAATAAACCTGTTAAACTTTTCCCCTGGTACTCTGAGTGTTTCTGCATATAGGTCAGATCTCTTAAAAACATCATGACATTTTAAACCGTATACTGGTTCCTGCACTACCCTATCAAAGGAACATATTCTACAATTCTGGATGCTCTTTAAATAACACTTTATAATGTATTAAATGTAATAATTCATTCTCACTTAACTCACAACAACCTTTATGAACAGTTCCAGTCTGGCTTCCGTCCCCGTCATAGCACTGAAACCGCCCTCTTAAAAATAATCAATGATCTTTTAATAGCAGCTGACTCTGGTCTAATTTCCATCCTCATTCTTCTTGATCTAAGTGCAGCCTTCGACACAGTTTCACACTCTACCCTACTCCATCGACTTTATACAATTGGCATCACTCACACTCCCCTAGCCTGGTTTCAATCCTATCTTTCTGGCCGCACTCAGTTTGTTCAGATTAAGTCATATCGTTCCAACTCCTCTCCA